GTTTATAACCAAAACAAAGAATAACAGGAAAACGTGCTTAAACCTTAACTGTTTATAATCATTTCTTTCCATCTTATACATTAATTCCATTCGTCATGCCTTGTGTTGTTTATAATCAAGGCAGGAGATGACAAAATGACAGATTAAAAAAACCTAACAGAAACAATCATTTATTTTCACTGGTAGACGTGACGACTGTCTGTGCATCAGGAAAAATAGTATTTACTTCTCTTTTCTAGAGAGACGGCCATAACAAGAAATTGATTTTCTGGACTATTTGTTAAACTCATTGATAAAAGATTGAGAAACCCAAACATTGTATTTAACAGTCAGATACATACACATTTTTAGAGTTTCTTTCTTTGCACTTATTTTTTTATTTTCTTAATGCGCCTGATGTGACCATTATCATTAAATCTCCAGTTTTAGAAGAATAAAAGCAATGTTTAGTATCAAAACAATAAATTGCAAAACATTAAGAAAAATCACTTATTTCAGCCAGCACATTAACATAAATGTGTCTGTCATGAGAGAGAGAGAGAGAGAGTGTGTGTCAGTGAGAAATCAGAGTTCAATAAGTTATGAAACATTTCTCTAGGGCGTGTGTATCAAAATGATTGAATCCAAGACAGAGATGGATGATCAGGTTAGAAGATTGTCTCATAAAAGCAAGCGTGCATTTCTTGTATACAGATTGACAGGAGCCGAGGAAATATAGTACAGGTCTTTTGATGGGAATATAAAAATGGAAGGGAAATTTAATAATGCTTTTCTTTTCAATCATTAAAAATTTATTTGCTTCCATCTTGACAGACTTTATGACTGAAACATTTATGACATTTCCCCACTCATTCTATCATTCAAGTCTCTCAAAAATCCCAACATATTCTCTTCATATCTACATAAACAAAAAAAAATACCTGAATGGCAAGCTTATCAATAAAAATTACTCATACTGACTTTATATGAAGAATACCTGGAAAAAAGTTTTAAAAAATGTCCTTAATGTATTAATTCCCAGTTTAAAATCTCCAAAATCTAGCAGCAGAGATAATTTACCTTCTACCTTAAAGAGGGAAGATGATTTACCTTTTACCTTAAAGAAGGTACATAATTTACCTTATACCTTAAAGAGGGAAGATATATCTTTTTCTCTGTTGACCTCCAGAAAAGATATATTCAAATAATTCATAATCTCTACTGGGAACAAATAGCCTGCATGCAAATGGAGGGCGGGTTTCATGAATACACAAAAAATGTGTTTTTTCACCATATCTATTTAACCTGTAGAAAGAAATGAATCTAAGAGGACTTGAAAATCTACACAGATTTATCAACAGATACCATCACTTTAACAGTATATGCTACACAGAAGATACTGTGTTTATAGCAGATTCAGAAAGAATTATTAGACAAGGTAGTTAAGGAAAGCAAGAAGAAAAGACTATTTACTGTAAGAAGACTAAATACATGGTTATCAGCCAAGGATATTGCTCAAGTTGTAATCTCTTGGTGATGTCATAATCGAGCAGCTACAGCAACTTAAATATTTGATGTTGTAAAGGGACAATGGAAAATGTCACAGAGAAATGTAAAAAGACATGGGGGGGGCGTCAAAATCTGAGTGCAGTATTAAGGGATTGGAAGATGTCATTAGAAATAAAGAAAAGAGTTCTCAACTTATGTATAATATCTAATCTCCTATATCTGGTAATGAATAATTGACAGTTTCCTTACAGATGAAAAGGAAATTTCAATGAACAAATATATTTGTCTACTGACAAATTCTGTGAATACAATTGACAGAAAAACAAGGAAACTTTAAGGAAAATAAGACTTAAAAATAAACCAGCTAACTATCAGAAATAGACTGCTAAAATTTTGTAGAAACATAAGGAAAGAATGCATAGAGAATTTGACACTCACATGACATACTGAAAACAAAAGAAACCATAGGCAAACTGTGTAAACTACTTGACAATTTTGTGAAAATAAATTGTAGGACAAAGACCAAAAAAGATAAAAAGTTGATGAAAAGCAAGTGTTACTTCGAACAATATAAGGCAAGATATTGGAGAAAACAATGATTACCCAAATCCTGAAAAGATATGGCAGGTAAATCATCATCATCTTGCGGCAGGTAAAAGAAGACCTTATTAGTAAAAGAAGACCTTATTGTTATTACAATACTTACTGCATTTTTTTTTCTGTGATTGTATTCTTGATTGAATAATAATAATAAAAAAATACATATACTAGCTCTTGTGTTTGATATTCTTTTCTTTTTATGTGCCAAGTCCTTTCAGGACATAGGTGATCATGGCTCTCCACCTCCCTCTATCCCTTGCAGCTCTCAACAAGTTCCTTCCCTCTGCTACCTCTCCCAGACCACATTCTGTCATCCACTTAAGTCCGCCAGGTATGTGATGCGCTACTTTCCCATGTCTCTCTCTCTTTCTTTCTATTCGACCCGTGAGTATCAGATTCTCCAGGCCTGCCTTCCTCATTATGTGTCCCAGAAACTTCAATTGCCTCTTTCTGGTATTTGACATACTAACACACATTTTATTATAATCTTATCCCCTCCAACTAACAAGAGCAGCACCTAATCTTGGTATTTCTCACTTTTGAGGTTGAGATCAATATGTATGACACATCACAATAGATGCTATAATGTCTGTATACAAAATTTAAGCTTACAGGTAATGTGGCTGCCGTAGATTATAGAAATGTCATCTTCAAAATTCTTATTCAGGTGTATTGGATTCTTGATTCAATGAATATTTAGGAGAAAGATTTTGTGCTGAGAAATTGTTTCTCTGAAGGTAGAGTTCAGATCTTAACACTCTGTCCCACAATTTTCATATAGTCTGGCAGCACTCACTCTGAAAGTTAATCAACATTAAAAGTTCTTGTTAATACAAATACTCGAATGTTTTCCTGGAATTGTGTCTAAAAAATCCTGCAACTTGCTTTTCCCTCCACCAACTTCATATTGGTATTACTAAAATAAAATATGTTTTTAGTGATACTGTTGTTAAACTGTCCTTAATTTGACTTAGTAAAAAAGTTAAATATTAAAAAGAAAGTAAAATACTTGAATATTAACAAAAAGAAATGAAAAAAAAAAAACTCAAGCTTTCCTTTTTCATTCAAATATCTGTTCATTAAATTCTAAAAAATATATATATATATATATATATATATATATATATATATATAATCATTTAAATGGTGGCAGAAGAGTTATTGTTGAACTTTTAAAAGGTAAGCTTATATATATATATTCATTTTTCACCCTTGGAAGTGTGGTCTGATGAGCCAGGGAAAAAGAAATTCCCTGGGGAAATAAATTATAACTAATGGACCCTTAAAGTCGTCTATTTTCATTGAATTAATTGCTCTGATTTAACGTTGAGCTCTCGGATTTCATCCTCCTTGGGATTATCCATACAAATTACCAAAATTTTCATTACTTAACTAATATATATATATATATATATATATATATATATATATATATATATATGTGTGTGTTAAAGTTCTCGGTATATACCTGTAAAGAAGACAAATTGATTGAAATAGACAATCCGAAAATAGTAATTAATCCTTGCCAACACATTTTGTTCTTCAACTTTATCAAGACAAGTGATGATAAGCAAAATGAAATGTTGTATACTTATATGAAATTCAAAAATTTTAAGACACCCCTGTGTAAGACTCTCTTTGGGTATTAGTAACTTTTTCATTTTAATATCTAATATCTTAATTTAGCCACAAAATTAGTTGTTTTGTACTTTAAATAAGAGAAAATTATTATACATGGTTAAAAAAAGTAAGACATTATTTTATGATTAAATTTTGCTCTCGTCAAAATTTCCTCCTTTCACCTTAATTATAGTAGCACAAATATTTGGCATCCATTGCAAAAGTTTCTCAACATATAAGTTTAATAATTGATTCCATTCCTTTTTCAATGACTCTAAGAGCTATTTTACCTATTTTTTTTTTTTTTTTTTTTTTTTCCCCTCTCAAGTTCATCCCATGCTAATTCTGAGGGAGAACACACACACACAGATATATATGTATATAGAGAGACACAATATACAGAGTTTTATATGCAACTAGCTTAAAAGCTGCCCTATCGGTGGCATTTAAGCTAGCTCCTGTGGAGAGCTCGATTGAGCCTTTGGCTTCTTCAGGAGTTTGAGAGTAGTCTCTAAGTCTTTGCATATTCTCAGCATTGGAAGGCTTCTTGGTTGCCGTTTGATCTGGGATTTCACTTACATGGGACTTTCTTTTACTTTTTGCAGCCTTAGCTCTTTTGATTTCATTCTGGTCCTCGGTTGGCGGAGATTTCATTTTGTGAACCATACTGCTGCTGTATGCAATAGGCAACAATAAACTACAGAAGAACTCAAAATTGATTGCTGCATTATTATTAAATTAATATTTAAGCTTAGCTTTTAAAAGTTCAACAATAATTCTTCTGCTGCCATTTTGATTTAAAGACAATTTGATGTACATAGGTCCTTACTTTCAGTACAAACTTTTATTACATGGGAGACTTTCGCTGACTTTCAAAATTAATTTTGATTATTCCCAAATTTATTTCATACTTTTAAAAATGGTTATCATACAAAAAAATTTTTTGGCAAAATATCACGTAAAAAAAAATCACTGAAAAAAAATCACAGTAACGAAAACTTGGGAATCCAAAATTTCAGGATTGCAGGTTCATATCCAGCCCGGAATGCTTTTAATTTGCTCACAAAGTCGTCCTGATTTCAAAATGGTATGATATGTTGGGCTATGGCCTCTAGAAATAAAGTTGAAAAAGTGTGATACACATAGACATTTTCACATTTATTATATAGAAATTACTTTTAAATACCAATTACAAATGTTTTCTACATTCGACGTGTACAAATTACATCTCCCATTTTTGAAGTCAACTCTTTAAATCATGTGCCATGTACTTTTTATTTTGTTAACCAAAGATCAGGCTCTGTTCTTGGTTTGGGCCTGGCCCTCAGTGCACTTTGTGAAGATGGAAAACCTGAGTCCCGTGAACATGCAGCAACAAGCCTCAACAAATTGTTTTCTCTGCTTAAAGACTTGGACACAAGTTCTAACATCTTTCAGGTAAATTCTTATTTCATCTTTGCAATTTCTTTTCTATTAAATAAGATTTCTTTCTCAGGACAGAGAAATAGTCAGATGGTCAGCTCATTGTACCACTCCAGTAATTACCTGACTCCATAAAGTTAGATCCAACCAAAAACATTGTATTGTTGCCACATCTGAGCTGGAGCTGCACAATCCTTATTTTTCAGTCTTTTCAAAAGCTTTTAAACAGCCTTTGTAGATGATGAAACATCACAAGCCTATCAGTACATCTATTGCTATTTCCAGATATTCAGACCAGCTACTTTCTACAGTTACACAAGTTCAGACATTCACAGCTGGGATTCATCATGCCCCATACACAGGGTTGACTCATCCTCATTCTTTTGTTATTCCATTTGTAAGGAGGAAGTTTCACTCAGCTTCTTCCTGCAAACCACTGCTCTATGGAACAGGCTACCAAGAGGTTGTTTCTCCAAACACTACAATTTTAATCTCTTCAATTTTAGGGTCAACCAATATCTATCCTCACAATCTTCACTTCCTTCCTCTTATGTCCATGCAACAATCTTATTCAGTAATGCTCTATCTTGAGTGGCTTTTGGGCCTTGCATTGAGTGTACATTTAGTTTTTTAAAAAACAAGGAAGAAAGAAAGATACAGTGTTAAATTTCCCTCAGATTTATAAAAAAAAAAAAAGAAATTATTAAGTTACCAAAATTCTTTTACAACTATTTTTGGTAAAGTGATGCAGATGGCTGAATGGTTACCAGCAAGAAAAATGGAATTAGCAAGCCAAATTCAAATTTTGCCTTGAGAAAAACTTGATGGAGCAACAGTTGAAACATTGGGATAAAGACAACAATGACAAGGAAACTAGTTCAAAAGAATAACAATACTTTTTTATATTTTTGCATTGAATTTCGTTTTTTATGTGTATATCTAGAATCTACTTTATAATGAGACGTTTACATATTTTACAAAGAAAGCAAATATTTCTATTAAACTTTGATTTCCTTTATTCGTTCTTTTAGGTCCTGTGTTTTTCTGTGGCCTGTATTACAGGCTCCACATTTGCAGCAAACATCATCAAAATTGAAACAGTTGACACTATTACAGCTCATCTTAAAGAACTTAGCTATATGAACCCACAGGTAAGTGTAACTAAGTACCAATTGAAATTTGATAAAGCATAGCGCTTTTATTTTAAAATTTATTGAAGATTATGTTTCAGATTCTTGACAGAAGGTTCAATTATTTGTATTATTTTTATGATTTGTTTTTCTCTATTTTGTTGTTGTTGTTTCTTATCACCTCTGACATGATTGTTATACACTTTGATCACCAAAGAAAAAAAAAATTCCAAATGATAAAGAAATGCTTTTATAGACATTCCATTACTTTCTGATTCCTTTTCTCTGCTGTACAAGAATAGATTCATGTAAATTTCTTTTTTTTAAAATCCTTACACTAGCTGAAGAGGTTGATATTTATTGGCAAGATTTTACATTTATTACTGCAGAAGTCAAATATCTAGAGCTTTTCAAAAAAGATCTCAAGTCCACAATTTCTTTCAGCCAGTTATGTGCTATTCAGGATACATGCTTAGGTGATCATGTATCTTTTAATACATGACTGAAGAGGCAGATTTTTTCCCACAGTAGGTTGCCATTTCTTTCTGTGGTAGACCAGTTGCCATCCAAGGCTATAGAACCCATTCTATCCTGTTATTTACCCATAGCTGGGGGAAGAAGAGTAGGATTCATACCTTTCCCAAGGGTATTAGCATGTAAGTGAATATAATGGATTCAACAAGAATTTGAACTTGGCTCCCCGATTTCTCAAGCCGAGTTGCTATCCATTACTCCACCATGCCTCCTTCTTTCTTTGGAAATCTTAAATTCTTACCTGGATTATTTTGGTTGCGGGAATTCCAGTTTGGTTAAACAGGAAAATAAAGATTCAGTTCAGCTAACCTGACAGATACAAAATAAGGTTCTAGTTAAACATTATACTTACATTGTAAATAAAGACTCTTGTTAAAAAGTTTGGGAATATGAAAGAACATTTGGTGACCATAACTCTAATCCTGCTTGAGTTATGTAAGTAGCGGACAGGCAAATATGATATCTGCTATATTATGATAAGATGAAGCAGTTTCATGTTTTTATTTGAAAATCTTCTCTTTATGTTTGTTTCCAATGTAGGGTTGCCATATTGAGCAAGATTTGATGACCCGGCACTACAAAAATTTGAATTGACCCTATTCTCATCAGTAAACCAAAATAGTTTTACAAATATCAAAATTGAGAATTTAATCATGGTGGACTTTCAAAAATTGCCTGTTCTCGCCATTCTGTTCCAATAAAAAATAAAGACAACTAATCAATACTTGCCCCTAAATTAGCATTCCTCAGAATTCTTCCTCTATTATTTGGTTTCAACACTTGATCAATCCAAACTATTTAAATCTTTCAAGTTACACATCAAAAACAATAAAATTATGGCAGGGGATTTAATTAGCGTTTCAAGAGCAGAAAAACTAATACTTTAATTATTAAAAGGGAAAAGTTTATGACCCCCCCCCGCCTGCCAACTTTAGCCAACACACCATTTTGCTCTTTTTTTTTTTATTCTGTTCCTCTCTAAGAGTCTTTGAGATTGTTCTGATATAGAAATGGAATTGTTACTATTTTTAAGGTTGCTCATTATTAATTATAAATCTTTTGATGATCCAAATGTGGCTGATGATTTTAATATCTCTTCCATAGTTACCAAATTAACTAAATTGGATGTTACTAATTAATTGCAATCAAATATCTTAATGCGAAGTTATTATTAGGTGTGTGCAAAAGTTTCTAGCATTTTTTATTGAAAATATTGTTCTTCTTCTTTGTAGCATATCCCTTCAGGATGTTGGTGACCATGGCTCTCTACAATTTCAATATCAGAATTGCCTCACATTATAGGTGGAATAAATATTGAAACTATTTCATGTATTAATTCTCAAAATATTTTTCTTGATTGTCTATGAGATTATGCCAATGTTCTGGAATTTTTAAAATTCCATCTTGACAAAATAACTCAATGAAATTGTCAACCTCAAAGTCAACTTTTAAATTTATTTATATATTAGGATTGCTTCACTGATTAAAAAAAATGACAGAATCTAATGATGCTAACTTTAGCAAATCTACCCCACAAGAAAGAAGTTCATTAGGGTTTTGGGAATCAATTGAGCTTGAATGAGTTTTTCATCAATATGGCTTTCCATCCTTCTTCTCATGTAAATGTAAAAGTGTTTATAATGTCCTATAACGAATGTTTCACCAGAGCTTTCAATAATTCATTATCTAGTAAGTCTTTCATATCTCATCAAAGATGGAGTCATCACTTTTTTTTTTATCCAAATGATTAAGTTTTGCTGTTGATGTTGACATAGATAGACCTATGATTATTTTCAACACTTCATTATCATTTTAAAGTAGTCAGCATTAAATGACCCATTGAGGTTGATATGCTGTAAAACAAAACAAAAACAAACATTATCATTTTGAGTGTTCACTTTCTTTCTATGTTGACAATGACCAAACAAAAAAAAAGTTTTTGGTTGTGTCTGGATAGAAATGAAATACTGTCCAATGCTTCACTCTGAAAAATCAAAGGGAACCCATTTCTGCATTTTTTTGTTAAATTTCCTCATACTTTTCAAATGTCTTACATATGTTGCATGATAGATGCCAATTCCAACATTGATTGATTGGGACACTCCTCCAAAAAACCTTATAAATCATCAGCTCCAAATTCTTGTGGTCTGCTGCTGAGTGATTATACTCCAAATCATATTCACCCTTTCTTGAACCCATACACGCATGACACTTATGCTGGGCTTCCAAAAGAACCTACCTCCATTGTCTTCATCAATAACCCTTTTTTGGCTGTTGCTGTATCCAACTTGGAAAAAATTAAATGCAGTGTCACATGTGAATCTTATCTGCCACCATTATCTTTCTTTTATTTTCTCTCTCAAAAACAGGATATAATTTCACTATTAGGTATGATTAAGGAAAGGCAATAGCAATTCATTGCCAACTTCCTGCTTTTTTTAATGAAACAATTAAATTTCCTAAGAAACAATGACAAAGTTAATATCATACTCAAATAAAAATAATAAATAAGACAATAATATTTATTTATTTTTTAGGAGGACAGGGAAGAAATAGTGATTTTTTCAAGCATAGCTTGGATGTGGCACAAGGCCGAAAGTAAGTGATTGAACTCACTACTCAGTCATAATTGTTCTAGCGAGACAAGCTTGCTAACTATTACACCACCTCGAGGTGACCAAAGACAGGGAAGAAATATGTTCAAGTGGAATTTAACTTAATTATTGATACTTATATAAGTATAACAAGTTAGTTTATAGATGTAGTGGTAGGAAATTGTAGATTCAGGAAATCTATTAGGTACAACAGTTGATTTACTGGTTCATACCTGAAGCTACAGCAGATAAAGAAGTTTACCTATTCCTGGATAAACAAATTACTCCAAGAATTTATGCAGGGGGAACAGGATAGGTAGTCCCTGGTACAATTTTATGTGAAAAGTAATTTGGTTGGGGGATGTTGTTGCAGACTTTTGGTGAGATTTTATAAGCTCCTGGTAGATTTGACCTGCAAACAATTTTTGGCAGATTTGTGTAAATTCAAAATGAAAAATAAAACATAGAATTTGAACAAATGAAATATTGACAAATATATTGATAGGACATTTTACAAAAGAAAAATGAAATGTGAAAAGTTCAAAGCAATTTTCACTGTCTGTAGTTAAGGTACTTGCATTATGAGAGAGCAAAAAGAATATGTCTTTTCGCTATTAAAGTAAGAGATGGATTCTTTCAAATCTTGTGCCACCTGCAATTATCGTCAAGGGGCAGTAATTCAAAATCTTGCCCCTGTGATTATCATCAGGGGGTGGTAATCCAACAAGATATAGATGTCGGGATAGAGAAAACAAAATTCCAAGAAATAAATATCCTACTACTCTTCTAAAGTCTGCTTGGTAAACTGCTTTTCAACTTTGCATTCAGCGGCTGCATCAACTATCTCCCATATTTTCTTCAAGATTCTTTCTTTTTCTGCCCAATAAATACAAACTCATTGCTCCTTGATCAATCATTGAATTGCAACTTCAACGTAAATGTTTGCTTCAAACTGTTTGCTGATTTTAAAAAAAAAAAGAAGAAAATTGAATACTTGTTTGAAAGAAAAAGCTAATCTAATCACAAGCGTAAACTTGATAAACATTTTATAAGTAATCATCCTTTTTGAGTTTTTTGATTTTATATTAGTAAGTTTTAAACATGACTTCCTCAACTTGCATGTGTTTTTTTGTATAAATATGACCTTTTTTTTTTTTTATTTTTTAGATAAATCACTTTCAGTTTCATTTTGTTAGAAATTTAACTCTTATTATTGTTGCATTTTTGTCCCCACATTTCCCCTGGGGTGTGGAATGCAAGTTCAAGTCTTACTGACAGCTATTGTTTTAACAATTTTGGCTTATCAATATTTCCTCGTGTGCTAACTCCACAGAGAAGAGATCTTTTGATTTGTTAAAGTCAACATAATGTCCTTATGATGATCTTTTCTATTTTCTCTTTGTAGATGAGTGGTGTGAACCTTGCAATGGGAACTCTTTGTTATTGTCTCAATATGATTGGTCACAGTGGCATCAACCAACTCACTCAAGACGTGTGCAATGAATGGACAAACACTTATCTGGATGCAGTAAGCCCATCACTTGTTTGTTTTTCTCTACTCTTTGCACTCAATGTGATTTAGTGCAACAAACTGACACCCCAACTCGGCTTTTGACCCAAATTACTTTCAAACCTTTTATCTGTCAGGTTGTGCGTGCATTCTCTCACCACAATTTCTTAATGCCTATGTTAAAAAGCAACTACACCAAATGTCAGTATCTAAAAGTCATCCATAGGCATTAAATTTTAAAATTGAATAAATGTTCTGATTATGTTGATGCTATTTCTAAAATACTAATTTACTGCTACATGTCCATTCTGACAATGGAATTAATGACATCTCTTAAATATTTGGGGTGTGGATAACATGACAGATGACATGGAAATAGAATTGGTGAACCGGGTTCAAATTCTGGTTGAAATCATTTGTGCTCACTTTAATTTTCTCGGAAAATCCTGTCTCTTTTTGTATTAGCTGTGAATGAAATAACAGTCTGGACACTTTAGCTTTGGTTGGCAACTAGTTTAAGTGAAAGACAACAAAATAAGGAATAAAATCCACTCTACTATCCACAACTATCAGTCAAAATAACAAAGAGAAAGGAGAACTAGCAATGTCACCCCACTAATATGATGAGCATGTCAACTTGAAGGATTCATTATAGCTGGATCTAGAATTAAATATCTGCTAAATTACTGTCAGGTTACCCACTACTTATTTTTATTGTAATTATAGTTAATATCAGTCTACATTTCTGAGATGAGGCATTGTAACTATTTACACTATTCAGACTGTTGTCCTCATTTTTGTTGTTATATTCACAATGTTTCAGCTGTTGTACACTCTGGCCTTCTTCAGGTGATTGGAATTTTGAACCGAATCTTTTCTTTCAACCACGGGAGTAGAATCTTCCAGTTCAACGTGCCTCCATACCATTTCTGGTTATCTCCCTTTAACTCAACTCTCCAAGTTTTTGTTCACCTCTGCTGTGGCCAGGGATTGAACTCACAACTCTTTGGGTCAAGTCACTGGATTCAACCAACATTTTTATCCACTCAGCCATGTGTTCTTGGGGATAGCATGACATGTGGAACTAGAACAATCTACTCCCGTGGATTAAATTAAGGGTTTGGTTTGAAATTCCAATCACCTGAAGAAGGCCAGAGCATAAAACCACCGAAACATTGTGAATATGACAAAGATGAGAACAATGTAAATAGTATAAGGGATTATAGTTAAGGTGAAATTTCCATTAGTCTTTCTCTGTATGCCACATTCCTTAAAGTTGTGAGCAATCATGACTCTCCACAGCTTCATATCTTGTTTTCAGAAATATTTGCTCTTTAATGACCCCTTTTTGTATTTGTGATCCTTTTTCTATTATTCCTTTGCTCAAAGTTGTCAACCCACTGTTTTCCTCTGATTCTCTTGCTTTCAATATGCCCTGTGAGTGTTAAACTCTCTAAGCCTTTTTTCCACACTGTGTTGTCCTCAAAATTTCAGCTGTCTGTTTCCAATTATTAGCAGCATTTTTGTTTTAGTTCCTATTCTTCTTAAAAACTTCCTTGTTATTGTCCAATGTATTTTCAACTTTTGTCAGTCGGACCATATCACGCTTCAAGTTTCTTCTTCATCTGTGAGGAAATTGTCCTGCAGCCATTGCCAATTAGGATATTAGATATTACATTGCAGTCCATCACTCTTTGTTTCTAAGGACATTTTCCAGTCCTGTAATACCTTGCTCAGTTTCTAAAAAGCATCTTTTGCTATTCCTTACCATACCTCCAAGCTTAAAGAATCTCTCTCAATGTCCTGCTAAAGATATCAACTGCAAGTAAACATTATTTTGTATCAGACCTGAAGCTGAAGAGGTGCTGGGTCATGAAAACCATTAGAAAAAGAACTTAAATCTATATAAGAACTAAAAATATTCTTGGTTTAAGGCTTGGAAATTATGATAACAAGCCCTTTACTTATGCGCCCCCAAATTCCTGTCATAATTTCTATTGCCTGTTACTTAACTACATAGATCGTTAAATTTGTGCACATGTTTGATTTTGATGTCCTCCAATATATAACTCACGATGTGTAACAGAGAGAGAGAGAGAGAGAGAGAGAGAGAGACACCCCCCCGCCACCAGGTGGGTTTATTAATCAACAGTTCTAAAGGATTGGGATGAAGGTACTAATTAGTTGGGTAGAAGGGATTCCGGAGTAATTCCAGAAATAAGTATATCTTTTTTTTTTTTTTTTTGTTTCTGGGGTTGAGTTATTAGTTAATTAGGTGAAATAATTTCAGAGTAATTAATGGACGGGTTCGTTAAGTAGAGCTTGTAATAAATAGTAAATTGGATTTTTGGGTGGTCTGCAGGATGAAATCCAGACAAAGTCCTTAGACGAGATAAGTACTTTTCACAAGGCTTAAGTGGATGATGTCTGCAGAAAACCCAGCAGGGAACCCAAATGCATTTTTAGTACCACTTGAAAACTGGTTGCCCACAGAGATTCGGAGATTAGGCGGAAAAATATGGTGGTCAAGGCAATTTGCATATTAAAATTTGTGGGCGGTGCCTAAAAATTGTTTAGCTCTACCCCTCTCTATATAAGCCGCCTGCACGCTTGAGTTAAACAGAACGCGGACAATGCGTAGAGAGAATGCAGCAGAAAACGGCTTGGTGGATCTTGCTGGTCTGGTCAGTTGGTTGTCCTGCATTAAGAAGACCGATCTGAACCAAGAGATAGAAATAGAACCCGTACGAATCCAGATAACTTCGTCAACAAAGTTGTGAGAAAGCAGACTGCTATATCGTAGGGTGCAGACAAAGATCCACAAATTACCTCCCTTAGACCAGCTGAATTCCTATCAGCATAATAATCGTCTTTCTCTCTCTCTGACTTTCCGACCCAAATGAGTGAAGACACTTTGTATTCGTGCAATTTCTTTGGTAGTGACATAAAAGCAGTAGCCTTAAAAGGCTCTTTGTACAGGAACTGAAAGTGTTGCTTATTTTTTATGTCCTTGCGGTTACTTTTTTCTGCATGAATAGCAATTCCTTTCAGCGTAGAACCCAGCCATTTCATCCTTTACCACCAGACCGTCCTGAAGGATCGGAATACTGCTGTTCGGATAAAAAAAAATCTCACAACGTGGCAAATAGTGGTGGTTCCTTCAGCTCACCAGAGGAGGACCAGGTGGTTTTCTTTTAGCAGCCAGAACCACCGGGGAGACAGGACATAGCTGCCGGCGGCAGAGCTTTGACGTTAGAGATGTCTCTGTATGATTCTTTCATCTGCTTTCAATTTTCATCATTATACTCCACTGGCTCTTTTTTCTTTTATTGCTCCCCTTCTTCTCTGAACTGTAGCATATTAGACAAAAATATCCAACAGTATAGAAAAGGCTTTCTCTCTCTCTGTATTCAGCTGCAAATTGATGCTCATCATGTCAAATGGCTTAATCATTCTAATACTAATGACATTGACAGGTTTCAGACTTACAATTTTTCAGTTATTTTTCTCAAATAGTGGATTTCCTTTCTCATTTCCCTCATAATTCCAACATCCCTCTTTATTAAATTTATTCCTTACCCCCACCTCCTGACTCTTGTCAAACATTGCAGCTCTGTCCTCTTGGCATTTTGGATTACACTGTAGTATTTGTTGATATTTCTTTTGGCTTATCTATTAGATATTAATTCTCTATTCACAAGAATTCTGTCTGTTACGTCCTGATTGGGATTAATTTCTGTGATTTTCTTCACGGTGCCCAAGAAATTGAAAATTCTGCCACTGAGGTTTCCTCACGAGCAAAAGCTACTATCAATGCTTTTGTGCCATATTGCCATATGAAACCACAATCTTCTCCTTGGTTCACACCTGCTTGTTCAACTGCTGTAGCCCACATGAATCACTTTTTCCGGCTATACCAATAGGATAGCTCTGATCACAACAGACACCTCTTTGTTTCCACTCATATTGATAATAATAATTGCAAATGTGTGGCTAAATGTTTGTTTTCTGATAGAATGAGGCACCATATATCTATTGATAACTTTGGATCTTGTGACTATTTGCAGCTCTTTAATACTGTGTTAAATAAGCTCAAGTTCTTGATCTCTCTTTTCTTCACTCATCTTGAAATGTTATTTTCTTCTGCTGAGAAAGCAATATATTAAATTCCATTAAATTGGTAAATTCTCTTCCAGTTCTACTCTTGGCTTATCTGGAGTATCCTTATCTGACTTTCCACTTAGAACTGACTCTCTACATATGTACACATAACTGCATCCATGCTTTCTGCTGTCATTTCTAAACTTGATCCCTACAAAGCATGCTGAAAGGCCTCTGATCAGGAGGTTTTGAGGAGCGTGGAACCAACTCTTAATTGCTGGTGTTCCCAGGTCCACCATGACCCGGGGTGGTAGCACCTGTTAGGGTCCCAACTATGGGCAAATAGCTGACCCCACAACATGACTCAAAACACTATGAAAGTGTAAAAGTAGATGTTAATACTAGAAATACTTTAAAAAAAAAATTAGTATCAGCAATAAATTTTTGAAAAAAGAAAATATTACCAGAAATAAAAATCTTGTCAGCATTAAATAAACCCATTGAGGTTAATATACCAAAAAACAAAACAAAACAAACTATACATTTAAAAATAAAATATTACCAGCTATACATTTTTGAAAATAATAGGAAATTTTGTCGGCAATAAATAACCCATTGTGGTTGATATGCTGTAAACCAAACCAAACAAAGCATGCTGACTTGCAATTATCCTAAAGAAATATCCTCCTGAACTGGCTCCACTTCTCTCTAAGCTCTATAATAGATACTTTGCTCTTTCTTTCTTTTCAGCTTGTTGGAAATCCTCTTCTGTAGCTGCTGTCTTTAAGAATTTGTGCAAACTGTCTGATCCTTTGAACTATCACCCTATTAGTCTTGTAACTTTTTTTTTACAAAGTGCTAGATGCTCTAATCAACTCCAAATTGATTAAGCATCTCACCTAGCAGAGTCTTCATTCAGATAAGCAATATGGCTTTCACTTTTCTAGGTTAACTGCCGATGTGTTAATAAATATTGCTGAAAGTGTCTATCAGGCTTTAGCTAAGAAGAATGGTGAAGCTCGGGCTGTTGTTTTGGATATCTCAAAAGCATTGGACAGTGTTTGGTATACTGGCCCTCACAAGCTGAAAGGTTATGGTGTTTCTGGCTGATTTTTTTATTTGATTCCATCAGATCGCAAAATGAAAGTTGTCTCGAATGGCCAATCCCCTAGATCTTTTCACATTAACATGGCTGTCCTCCAGGGTACTATTCTTGAACATGCTTTTTTTCCTAATATTTAGCAACAACTTTCCCAGTGTTATGAGTTCTTCTCTGTATCTATGCCAATGACACATCTATTCCCTCCTGCCTTAATGTTAAGTCTGATAGGTTCAATAAAGTCAAATTGGCAGCTGAATGACCTACAATCAGTTGTTAACTGGGGCAACAAATGGCTTTGTTAATTTTAATGCCACCAAAATGAAATCTAGAAGACTGGCCATTCAAGGCAACTATAACAGAACCATTCTCGGACTAACATTTTCCAGATATGAATTGAAATGGTTAGAGTCTATCAACTTTCTTATGAGCTATGTCTGCTGCTAGGAAGGTTGGTGCATTATGTTGTGCTAGACAATTTTTCTTGCTAGAATCTATCTTACATCTTCATAAGTCTACCATTTGTCCATGCATTGAATAATGCTGTCACATCTGATCTGGCGCTTCTAATATGTATCTAGAGATTCTTGACAAAATCCAAAGAAGAATTTGTAATATTATCAATCCTGATCTGGCATCTCAGCTTCTATCACTTTCTCACAGTTGTAGCATAGCTTCCCTGTGCCTTTTCTATAAATGTTTTCATGTTAATATTTTTGATTTGCTTTTCTCTTTACTATTTCAATTTTATTAATTTAAGTGCAGTACTAGATTGGCAGCTAGGTCTCAATCATTTTACTGTTGAAATTGTTAGATGGAACCATAAGCTCTATGCTAATAGTTTCTTCTCTCACACTTCTTGTTTATGGAACTCTCTTCTGACTTCTTGCTTTCCTGTCAACTACAATCTTGTCCCCTCTGTTTCTTTCACTTTCATCTTAGTGGCTTTATTGCTTTGCTTAGGGTGAAATGATTAGAAAATATGTGTGTATATAATTGTATATATAATTTTCTTTTTGCTAGTTTGACCAATTTTCATTTATATATTTTTAGGAATCTCCAACACTTCATCGTATTTCTGCATTGACAGGTTTAATGGCGTTGATTGGATCAGAAAGAGGCCTTATCACTGTAAGTAAAATGACTATCACAGATATGAGGATTTTGAATAAATCCAATTTTTAAAAAATTCCACCATCTTTAATATTTTCCATAATCCATATATTTGCAGAATTTAGTCTGGCACAAGGGCACAGTTATGGGGCACTGAGTATCATTAGGAAATTGGTCTGGGACACAAGTTTACTAACCATCATCTAAAAGTATTTACTTAATTTGTCACAGGGGCAACTTCAAAAGGGCACTCAGTCAGGATCAACCTCATTAAGCTCACAAAGGGATCTGTTAAACAAGTTTATTAACTATGGTACTATTGTAATTACCCTAATATATTAGAGGAATTTTAAACATTAAAAACAATTTGCAGGGTAAATTTTCATTAGTGAAACACTCATTTCTGTTTGTTTCTCTGTCTTTAACTAAACTCACTCTTTGTCAGCCAATTCTTACCAACATTAGCAAACATCATTTAACTTTAACAATAGACTATTTAATTAGTCAACTAGGAGTGCCTAGCTGACTAATTAAATAGTCTATTGTTAAAGTTAAATGATGTTTGCTAATTATTACTTAAAGCTAGCAGAAATTGTGATACCATTACAACAATTTAAATTATTTTTTTTAAATTGTTGTAATGGTATATATATATATATATATATATTATGAAATGGACTAAGTCCAACAATTATTTTAATATTTCTATTTATACATTATTTTTATAGATACACAGTCCTGGGTATGACGATAAACTACATCTGCATCCTAAGTAAGACAATAAACTATGTTCAACAGCAAGGTTTTGAGGAGCATGGAACTACCTCTTAATTGCTGGTGTACCCAAGTCCACTCTGACCTGGGGTAGTTAGGGTCCCAGCTATGAGTAAATAGTTAACCCCCCAAACTGGGGTCAAAACACTATGAAAGTGTAAAAATAGGTTTTAATACCAGAAATACTTTGTAAAAAAGTTATTACCAGCAATAAGTTTTTGAAGAAAAAAATTATTACAAGCAATACATTTTTGAAAAAAAAATATTACCAGCTATACTTTTTTTTGTAAAAAAAAATTACAAGTGATACATTTTTGAAGAAAAAATATTACCAGAAATAGATTTTTGAAGTAAAAAATTTTACCAGCAATACATTTGAAAAAAATATATATATTACCAGCAATAAAAATTTTGTCAGCATTAAATAACCCATTGAGGTTGATATGCTGTAAAGCAAAGCAAACCAATTATAGATACAAATATTTAAGTAAACACTGTTTATAATAAACAATATTAACTATAATTATCAGTCTGAATGTTCGAGAAAGATACACTTCGAGCAGGTACAAGCATTCAAGTTAAATGTTGTTAATACTGTTTATTATAAACAGAGCATTTACTTAAATATTTGTATCTATAAAAATAAAGTATAAACAGAATGATGTCATTTGTTTACAGTAAGATACACTTTGAGCAGATATGAGCATTCAATAGAAATCATGGGAAATTTGTTGTTTAAAAACAGTAATTTGACTTTGCTAATCAGACACTTCCTCTATAGCTAAATAGTATAGTGCATCAGACTATATGACAGTTCTGTGTAGGATACAGGATCGATTCCTGTCAGAGGGCACATATTTTCTATGAGACATTCAGCCTGGTAAATGTTGCTAATACTGTTTATTATAAACAGGGCATTTACTTAAATATTTGTATCTATAAAAATAGCATATAAACAGAATATATATATATATATATATATATATATATATATATATATATATATATATATATATATATATATATATATATTGTTTATGGTATGCTATATTGTGGTGAACAGCCCCATAGAAGCAAGCAAGCCAGAGTGGTTTGCATCTAGTGCATAGGAAAATAAGGGTCTTACCTTAACGTGCAGCACATAACATCGGCAAGTTTGCTACATTAAAATGGCATTACTCTCCTGTCTTGCAATTCCAGCAGTATGTGCGGTAATGACAGTTTTTGTACAGTTTGGCATGCTTCTACCAATAGCAAGTTGTGTGCTGATTGGTCGAACTGGAGGAGGCTATTTGCCTGGGTAACTGAGAATAAAAGCGAAGAACGCTGATTGTTTTGTCAACCGCGGTGTTGGCCTGATAAAAGAGGGCTGAAGCAGTGAAAACAGGAAAAGAAAGTCGGATTTACATCGTGAACTTAAAAGAGGAATTTACTTTATCACTGTAATGATTGCCACAAGGAATAAACAGGAGAAACCTCAAGGAAATAAAACCTTATATGAACACAAAAGGGATATCTTACAAAACAACACACACAGTGCATTAATTGCTTACCAGAATGTCCGACCATAATTTTGATTTTAAAAAAATGATACTTTAATTAAAAGAGAAAACAATTTACTGACACTTTCATACCTTTAGCAATCATCCACAAACACTCTAACATCAGTATTGAGCACTCTTAAACATAACAAATTTTAAACATATATATGTTCATAATTTGCTATATATATATATATATATATATATATATATATATATATATATAATATTTACTCAGTAGTAATACATTATAATTTTTATTTTGCCTTTTTTTTTAATTTTTTCTCCCTTTCTTTCAGATCCATTCAATTCCTTCCCTTTCGGGGAATGTTGTTAACCCAGTTGCTGTTCTCCAATTGGCAAAAACTATTTTGAAAAGTCAAGAAGACATTGGAATTCAAAGTGCATCTGCCTGGATGTTGGGTCATGTCCATTTATCGACATCAACTGTGTCAGAATCCAAAACCAGTGGTAGATGTCACTTTCGTTTTTTTGTTTTCATTTCTTTGCTTATTTTCTCTCTTTCTCCCAAAAAAGATACAAGAAAAAGAAATGTTTTCAGACAGGAAATTCTTTGTTTTCCACCATTTACCAATCTGTTTAAATTGTTGATACTTTTATAGAATAGCACCCCCATCTCCTGCCATTAATTTTTAATGAAGCCATTCATCAGTGTGATCCTCCATTTTTTTCAATGTTTCTTTTATTAAACATAAAGGGCATGTGATTTTATACATCACAAAACAATGGATGCTGACTTTTATTGTGCAAGTCAATCTTTTCATAATAAAGTTTGTGTTCACCAATTGATGTTGTTAAAACTTTCACAGTATACTTATGATGAATATACAGGGCAACTTTTAGCTTATAATATTTGTTTTTATTAGAAATATTTGCAATAATTGTTTTACCAAAATCAGTTTCCAACATATCAAACTAATAGAATTGTCCTAAGCCTTTCAAAATATTAATCCAATAAAAAATCTGTAGTCCATCGTTAAAATGTGATGTATATGAAAATGGAAAACAATATTCAAGCAAAGATGATCTTTGGGAAGCAATAAAAACTGCTTCAGATAATGTTAAAGTTAAAATGATAGAAAGACTAGTGAAGTTAATAAAATGTCAAGGAATCCATATTCACATGTAAAATAATAATGAAATAATTTATTCAAGTTTATTGGATCAAGTATAAGTTTTTTTTGTGTGTTTAATTAAAAAATAAAAAGACATTGTGTCTTTTTGCACCAAAAATAATTCTCAATTCAGTTTGTATAAATATTTTTAACAATGATAAATATGTTCAGCTTAAGTTCACACAAATTATCCTGAAAATTTGACCAGCATTCATTGTGCTGAGAAAATATTAATTTATAAAATCTGACAACATATAGAGGATGTTTATCTAGCTATTTAACTTCATAGACAATCAACAAATATGCAAAGAATTGAAATAATCTGTTTGATATTTATTTCATGAAATCAGAATCTTCAGCAATTTTTTTTTTATCCATAAAAGCCAAAAAAAAAAAAAAAAGCTAATAATGTCCTTTATGATGATTCCAGAATTTTCACCAAAAGTTTCAGACAGATTGTGAAATTTAATTTATCTTGGTTACTTAGTATTTCGAAGACTCTTCAGTTCAAGTGAAGTCATCTATAATTTTGATGACGTATAACTTGCCAATGTGTTGTCAGCTCTGCTACAAGTTGATCTATGATGTCCCTAGAAGAAACAAACATGTTTTTGTTTGATATTGTTAAACCTTTTTGTCTTCTTAATGTTTGTTTTTTTTTCATGTTACGTTTTTACTTTTATTGAAACATTTTCTGCCTTTCAGTACCAAACAACTACCATTATCTCGATAACAATTTGATCCTTCGAGCTTTGCTTGATTTTCTCATTGATGCAGGAAAATTAGGTAAGAAAAAATGGATGACGATTTACTTTTCTTTCAAAATTTACTGACAAAATAATTGCAACACCCTGAAGAATGAAGTACAATTTTGACCTTGCTACACTACTAAGGGGTAATAGAATGCCTGATAAGTCAATTTTGACCTTACTACACTACTAAGGGGTAATAGAATGCCTGATAAGTCAATTTTGACCTTACTACACTACTAAGGGGTAATAGAATGCCTGATAAGTCAATTTTGACCTTACTACACTACTAAGGGGTAATAGAATGCCTGATAAGTCAATTTTGACCTTACTACACTACTAAGGGGTAATAGAATGCCTGATAAGTCAATTTTGACCTTACTACACTACTAAGGGGTAATAGAATGCCTGATAAGTCAATTTTGACCTTACTACACTACTAAGGGGTAATAGAATGCCTGATAAGTCAATTTTGACCTTACTACACTACTAAGGGGTAATAGAATGCCTGATAAGTCAATTTTGACCTTACTACACTACTAAGGGGTAATAGAATGCCTGATAAGTCAATTTTGACCTTACTACACTACTAAGGGGTAATAGAATGCCTGATAAGTCAATTTTGACCTTACTACACTACTAAGGGGTAATAGAATGCCTGATAAAATTCTCAGAAAAGTTTAATATACATACCCATAAAAAACTGTGTCAAAAGGATGGTTTTTCTCTTGACTCTGTTGTTACTGTATGGTAAATAAATTGTATTGCAGTTACGTCACATATTTTATAATCTTACAAATATTACATTATTCTTGTAAATATGCAAGCTAATAAATAAATAATGTTTAATTTTTTGTTATTAACTTTCATGGAAAAAGAAAATGTGAAAATCCAGTTACAGATGTTTAGGTTTTTTTAAAATAATAAAAATTGCGGAGGAAGTGTAAAGTAATCACAATGTCAAGAGCCAAACTGTTCTTTTGATGCACTCTTTTTTTTTTCTTTTTTACTATTATATTTGTTAAACTTTGCCAAATGTGGCCCTTTTGTTCAATTAGAACTGTGCAAGAAGGAGTCAGATGCTGGATGGTCATTTGGAGAATTACTGCACATGATGCATGGGACAGATTGGTGGTGCTTTGATGCTGACAACAGTTATCAAATGAACATTCCTGCACTTGTAGACCAAGTCTTGGACAACTATATAATACAGATGCTTGCCAAGATTGACATATTGTAAGGGCAGAAATAACCAACCAATGAGATTTCACAGCACAGATCAGAGCAAATGTGGCTGCAATAGTGTCAACATAAGCCTATGCATGCACGCAGACTATGGCTGTGCATAGATCTAGCTATACTTCCACTTAAAGCACAACACACTATCATGTAGACCTCCATTGGTATATCATCAGAGAGACACTTGGGAGATTGATTGATGTACTGTTCAGTGATGAGAGGAAGTTCTACCTTCCCACAATTGATGGTTATCTGTGTGTGCAACATAGACCTGAACAGTAACATCTTCCAGTATATTTACCAACAATACATCACAATGTCAGATGCCATATTAGAACTTCCACTCACCTCTGGTGTTTATGGAGAGAATGTTGAACAGTGTTGTACATATCCAGAACATTGTTCAACCCATTCTGCTGCCATTCTTGCAACAGGAAAGTGATGTCCATGCTACTTGAACATGTTCTGCATGATGTTCAACAAACTCTCTGGCCAGACCTGTCCTACATTGAACATGTATGAGACATGTATGGGTATATGTATGACTCGTTCAATTAGCCTACCTACAACATTTGCAGGATGTTAGTTTTCATCTGTATGATTATATACATGCAAAAATACATGCCCATATTAATACCCAAGATTGACAACTAGGTCTCATCATTTTACTATTGAAAAAGCCAGGTCTAACCGTAAGTTCTATTCTGTTAGTTTCTTTTCTCACACTTCTCACCTGTGGAACTCACTTTCAGCTTCTTGCCACCTACAATCAGTCAATCTGTTCTGTCACCTACAATCTTTAAAAATTTGAATGCAACATTAACCAACAATTCTGTATTTCTGAATCCTGTTCTTTTATTGACCTTTCACCTCATTAATGTTTTCTCGTTTTGCTTTCACTCTCATTAACCCTTGCGTCTTAGTGGCATTATCCCCTTGCTTTGAGTGAAATGATTAAAAAATAAATAATAATTGGTTTAAGACAACATAAAGATTTGAACTTTAATTTAACTTCATCATTCTCTGAGATGAATGACTTTGCACTTGCAATATGATGCTAAAATGGACAATTTTAAGCTAGTAAAAGAAATAAATAGTTGCTAAAGTACTTATCCTTTGTAGCTCTTAGCAATTTGTGTCTTTTCTCTATCCCTCTCAATCTCTGTTCTGCCATATGTTTACACAAACTCATTAGGGGAGGTTATTCACTGCTTTCCTCTGAACTCTATGGAGATAAGAACCTGTAACTGCAACGACAAAGCCAGAACATAAAATAGATCCACCCTTCAATGGTTAGTCAAGTATTTTTTAAATTAATGAATACTTTCTATCTCTCTGTTCTGTCCCTTCAGGACATAAAAGATTGTGATACTCCATACCATTTGTTGCTCTATGATCCACTTTTTTTTATTTTGGTACTTCAATCCATTTGATCAAGCTTGTTAAGTAGTTTCTTCTTTTTCTATGTGCCGTCTCCCTTCAGGGTGTAGGCAGTCATGGTTCTCCACAACTTCTTATCTTTTATCCCTGTTCTGCTAATCATTTACACAACCTCATTAGGTAGGTTACTCACTGATTTCCTGTCCCCCCCCTGCTATCAATGTGCACTGTGAGTGTTAATTTTTCTAAACTTCCTTTTTTCATTATGTCTAGGAAATTTCAGCTATTAGTTGGTCATTTTATGGCTCTTGACATAACTAGCTAAATTCCTGTGACCTTTGTACCCAGCACAACTTAAAATTAAAGCAACTCATTGTAATATCTGAATTGCATCAACCTACCTCACATAAATTTCCTTTATTTTCCGTTTTTTGTTTCAATGTAAAGTAGCTTCTTTGATATTTTTCACACATTTTTTAATCTTTCTCCCTTTTTATTTTTTTCAGGTCCAGATATGATTTCAAGTGCTGAGGTCAAACTGCCTTTAACTGCCATTTACAAAGGCCTTACACGACCTTTACCCCCACTCAATTGGGCGGCTGTTTTGGCTCCTCTGCTGAGGCAACCATTTTGTAAGTTTTTTCCTATTTACAATTGTAAATCAAAGCATTGAAAAAAAAACATTTTGATGTTTTCAATGCTCTGCTTTTGTGTTTTGTCTTATCTTCCAAATGCAAATTTTGTAAAGATAACAGACTTTCATCAACAAATGTCCAAGGTGCAGTTGTTAAATGTTAAAACGTTGAACTTATGCAAGTCAAGATGCACTGTGTGTATAAACAATCCCTGAAAATTTAAATCCACTCATCACTTGAGTTTATTGTTATGCATCACTTGAAGGAGCCATCTCTTTGCTGATGTCATAAAAAGAAATTTTTAGTGAAATGGAACAAAATGGCTACCAAATCATAACTAAAAAATAAAACATAAAATCATGATGTTGTCATCAAAAATCCCCCCCCCCCCGAATGTTTTCATGAGCAGTTAGTGGAATGTTTTTTTAAATTAAATTTATTTAAACATTATATAAGTTATTAAAACTAAGTTTTGAACAAATTTAAAATATCTAAATTAAATTTAAATTTTTTAGTGGAATGTGTTAAATTTTGCCAATTTGACAAAAGGTAATCCTGGCAGATCTTTATTGTCAGTGACTTGAATGAGTGAAGAAATAAATGTCTCCCACTCAAAAGAATAACAATGTGAGTCTTAGACTCAGTCAAATAAACTTGGAGAAAAATAAATTATGTTGGGCAATTTTATCACATTTCTCATCTTCATTGCCCCTATATCTCTGAGATGAGGTATTATGATGACTTGCATTATTTACATTATACAGACTGTTATCCTCATCTTCATTGCCATATACACAAAGTTTCGGACATTGTACACTATCCTCTGACCTCAACCAGTGTAGCTCATTAAGATTTTCATTTAACTGCATCTCGAGAACATTATCTTTTGGTCAAAATCTTAAAAAGTCTGAAAGTTACCAATTCACATTATCGGAATTCAAGGAATAAATAAAAGAATTTCAACAATAAACTTTTGTTATTGCTGATAAAGCTGATTCTGTTTCTCACAAAGTTGAGTTAAATTTTATTCTTTTTCTAAAGATAGGACGTCACTTACCAATCATCACTTACAAGTCATCCCTAAATATGAGTAAATTGAATAAATAAAATAAATTTTTGCTTATTTTATTTTCAGCATCTGAAGTGAAGATGATCAGCTTGAAATTAGCCGTTTCCCAGTGCACGTCATCACCAACTGCTGCCGTTTTTTTGTCCTCTTGGCTCAACTCGTCACTTTTTAATTCTCTTGAAGTTTGTTGAAATAATTTCTTTCTTTCAATTTGTGATAAATTATAAAAAAGAGCATTTTCTTTGATTCTTGATAAGATGAAGCATTTTCACAAGAACAAATATTTTTAGTTTTCCTTCTTCAATGTTTGTTGCTTGTATCATATTTTTTTTTATTATTTGAATTGAAAAAGAAAAAATTGTTTAAATATGTATAATTATGCAAATGTTTCTTCAAAAAAAAAAAAAAAATAGAACTTGAGTATTAGTGGTTTATCAACAAGACTGGAATAATTGAAAAAGCACAAGAGATGACAAATAAGAACCCAGCCTAACAGTTTTGGTAGATTAATTGGTTAAGGCATAAGACATATTTTCCCTGTGTTTAAAATGCATGTTTGAGTTTTACTCAAACATGTATTTCTTTATTTTCCAGATTGACATGTTTGAAATTTAAAAAAATATGAGAAAAAGCAACAAAAACTAATCTTTTTAAATGTAATCTCAGAACTTCTGAGATTTTGCAAGTATAATGAAGTAAATGTTATAGATTATTTTATTGTCAAAACGTTTATAACTTTTATGAAACATTTCACCTTATAAATTTCTTTGAGGTTCTTGTTTAAAATGAGAGTTTGACATTTCGGATATGAATTGCAATTCTATGCTCTGCTACAAATAATCAAAATTTTTGTCAGTCACATATGGATGATTATAACTCAATGTAAAACTTACCCAACACACATTTTGTTCTCTGAAGGATCAAGGCAAATGAAAGGTTGTTAGCAAATAAAATCCTTGTATTTGCCTTGACAAAGTCTCTCAGAGGACAAAATCTGTCGGCCAAGATAAGTTTTCCTTTTGTCTTTATTTATATTGTCCTTTTACAGATATATTCTATCTGGAATTTTATATAACTCAATGTGAATGTCAAAAATTTCTGTTTATCACATTTACAAAACTGAGCTGCAATTTGCAGGAATTTGCAATACCTAAGGTTTAAAATGAATTTTTAAAAATGAAAAATCTATTGTGAAGCTTTTATTTCAGTTTTAATTTCAAGCTAAGAGATTAATTTTTAATATTTCCAATTAGCAAAATACTTTGCTGTATTTCAAATGTAATTTAAATTGTTTGAAAAGAGTTTTCATTTTTTAAATTTTTTAATTTAGCACCATTTTTAGCCTTCCATCATTTCATTTTATTAGAAAATCTTCCCAGAATAAAATACACTTTTCTGAAACTTCATTTGAGGAATATTAGTTGATTTAAAGTATAATTACAAAAAAAAAAAAAATTGATGATTTAAAATCTCCAAGGAGTTCTGCTTTTAACTAATATTGCTACTAAAAATTGTCTCATTGAATTTCTTGAGTTTTCATAAAATTAAGTAAGTGGGGTGAAACACATGTGAAAAAAAAACCTTTATATGCAGAACGTCCCATTCGGACAGCTTCTTTACAAGAACTTTATGGAACTCTCGAGAAGATGATTCCCTGATCACTACAATCTTAAGCTCTTTGATTGATAACTTTCCTCCTCCTCTTCCTCTTAAACTGCACTTCTCACATCCTTCTCCTCCTCCTCCTGTTGCATGCAACAACAGCAGTCAGCAACTGAGTGGCTCATGTGTCTTGTATTACGTGAACAGTTAGTAAAAAAAATAAAAAATACTAAACTAATTTAATTCTACTTTGTGAGTCCCTCAACCCCCAGTTAAGAAAATATGCGTAAGGGAGTCCACTGACCCCTGTTTGGGACACTAATCTCCATCTTGCATTTTTATTTTAGGGAGTTGGCAACTCTACTTTTGCCATTATTTTATGAAGTTAATAAATTTTTGATGGTTCTTACATTTAAAAAGAAATCTCACTTTGACAATCCAAAAATAGAAACTAAATGAAAAATTCTTTGTTTATTTGCCAATAGGGAACTAGTATTGTTCATTTTAAAATTCAGAATAACGTATACAACTTTCTGTTGTGATATATTTGCTCCTTCTTTGACTTGGTTTAAAGGCTGTGTACAACAAAAAATTCTCTTTCAACCGCACCAGAATGAATCTAAATTGATGAGAGCACATTTTCTGTAGTCAAAACCTAATTGACAAAATCCTCAATAAACAATAAGAGAAAGGAAAATAAACAAGAAAAAATAATATGAGACAAGCAATATATATATATGTTTCATTAAATAATATAGACAAGTTTTGTCTATTCATTTTAAACTTTCATATTGTCTGATAAGCTTAATAACATTAACATTGAAAGACGAAAGGAAATCACCATATTGATACATGTTTAAATCCAATCTAAGCTTTCAGCATGACTGGCCGCATACACAATTCCGGAAAATCCTTGTTGAAAACACAATTATACTTAAACATGAAAACAATAAACAAAAACTAAAAATTCTTGAAGCTTTATACATAAAACAGTTGAAATCAAACCTGAACAAAATAAACTACGAAATCTCCACAAATATTCTTAAATGCCTATAATTGATAACAGAAGCCATTGGTTTATACCAACAGCTATATAATGCAACATCTATATAATGCAATTTAAAAGCCAGACAATTATAAAACTAATAAAACAAAAAGTTCACAAAGTAGAAATTGTGTTCACATACAAAAGGGATACAGTCAAGTGATTATAGTGTTCTGACTTCAAGAAAGAACAAAAATGTGGAGATAAGACCAAGAGGTGTTCATTTTTTATTGGTTAGGAAGAAATCCCAGCAGGTAGGATTTATCTATAAATTTTGGGAGGGGAGAGTTTTAGCAGTCATTCCTAAAAACTGAATTGTTTTTAATTATTGCATTTTCTGTTTCATGATTGTAAATCTCTTTTTATTTACACTTTTTTTATAGGCTGATTGCCAGAATATTATCTTTGATAATCTTGACCAACTGATAAAATGCATCCCTGTGAAAACACTACAAGAGTTTTTGGAATATGATTGTGTAAACCCTTTCCTGTATGAGGGTAGACACTCACAGTGTCCAATCATCCTCCGAGGACTCCATAAAGCCCTTTTGGTGAATGACCCACCAGAATTTGTGACAGAACTACTTTACAAAACCACAGAGCATCTCTACAGATCTCTAACACCAACTTATCAGGTAATCCATTTCTCATCTTTTTCAGTTTTCAAATTGTTTTTCCAAGTTATTTATTGGTATCCCCATTTTGTAGTGGAGGTTGTTTTTCTTTTCTTCAGTAATTATTCTTTTATACTTGGTAATTAACTCCCCACTTCCACTACTTTGGTGCGTCCTGGGTAAGACTTTAAACTACGTCCAGCAGCAAGGTCTCTGATCAGGAGGTTTTGAGGGGCGTGGAACCACCTCTTAATTGCTGGTGTTCCCAGGTCCACCCTGACCCGGGGTGGTAGCACTTGTTAGGATCCCAGCTATGGGCAAAAAGTTAAATATTACCAGCAATACAATTTTGAAGGAAATATATTAACAGAAACAGACTTTTGACAAAACAAAATATTACCAGCAATAAAAAATTTTGTCAGCATTAAATAGCCCATTGAGGTTGATATGCCGTAAAACAAAATAAACCGAACCAAAGAATAGATATTCTATTCATACGAATCTATCCTAAAAATGTTTTCAGCATTAAATAACCCATTGAGGTTGATATGCCATAAATGAAACCACGAGTTTGGTGATTATTTCCCCTTGCAGTGAGTAATTAAATGCTTTCTTACCAGTCCCCTTGTAGTTTGGCTCATGTTTATTTGTGATAAGCAGAAAGAGATTTTTGTTGTATTTAAATTAGGTAGCTCCACAAAAACACTAAAAAATCAGCATATAATGATGAAAACATGATCCAAACATAATTAAAACAAAGTTTTATCATCAAAATTTTTGTTATTATTAAGAGGAAGGATCAAAGTATTTTTTTTGTTGTTTAATGAAATTTTTTTTTTTTTTTTTTAGAACATTCAAAATTTTGATTAAAAAACTTGTTTTTCTTGTGTCAGCAGTTGTACTAACTTTTAGCACAGCACATTTTAGCCTCTTTTTGCAGTGACAGATACATTAATTTGGAAATTCTTGCAAAAATCAAATATTTGTCAGATTTTAATGAAATTTTCAGTACTTATTCATAAATGAATGAAATTATTTAACTTTTTTATTAGGAAATCTTAGTGAAAATAGTTTTTTTTTTGTTTCACCCCCTTACTTAATTTTATGAAAACTTGAGAAATTCAACATAATTTTTAGTGACTATGTTACTTAAAATTCTTTCAAGAATTTAAATCACCAAATGATTTTGCAAAATCAGTCTCCACTCTTACCAAAAATCTGTTCTGAATTGAAAAATAAAAAAAGCAATAAAACTAAGACATTATTTAATTAGAGAAGCTTTTAATTGCTTTTATGAATAATATATATTAAAGAAGGAAACAATTTTTTTTCTGTGAAAAAACAAGTATTTTACTTTTTATTCTTTTTTTTTAAATCTTTTAAAATACAGTTTCAATTAGGTAACTCTTAGGTATTGTTATTAAGTAAAACTGTAAAAGCAATTCAATTTGTTTTTGTATGTGTATATATGTGCAGAATTTCTAAGTATGAATGTTCAAATCTAAAATTATCATTGAAAGGTCATATAATTTAAGGGTTGTCCCTGTCACCTGATGGCAAAAAACATCACTCATGTAAACGTTATCTGCTCCACCATACTTAACTATGGACATGTTTGGCAGTCATTCTGCTATCAATAAATCAATTAACATGTCAGAAAAACAAGACCCCATGGTTAAGAAATAATTGTATACAACATTTTATACTATAAGTAATATTGGTTTCAAATCATATTAATTTAACCTTAAATTTGTTAATTTTCCTCAACATTTCAGAAATATATATTTTATTTTTGCAAGATTTTTAAAACCAAGAATCTACTTTTGTTTACAAAATGGCCTATTTTATCAATTTTACTGAAAAAAAAAAAAAAAAAAAAGATTCTGATCAATATAATTTCTGTTTTGAAATACACTAGAGTATTTTACTAAAATTCATTTTAAACTTTACATATACCAAATTAGTGGAGGTACCTAATTTAAATGCATCAAATGAGAAAATGTGATTGTTTTGTTTGTTGTTTTTAAATAAAATTTCCAAATGAAATACAAAATTAAAATGAGAATAACTGCCATTTTTTTTTTCCTTTTTCAAACTTTGTTTCAGTTTTGTCATAAATCTTTTGAAAAAACCTGTTTTTTTACTATTTGTTTCTATATCCAATTCACTGAAAAATTAAACTTTTAAGTTATATTCATTGTTAAATAGATTGGGTGATGCAGCAAACAGCAGTTTAGGGTTTTGTTTTTTTTTTTACTATAGAAAAGTATGAAAACTAATTTGACTACAGAACTGCACGTTTGAGATTTGAATTGCTTCACATGAAATGAAAGTTTAGATTGTAAAACATCATTTGACAATACATATATAAAAACTGCAATGTGTATATACATATATATTTACTTTTTATGTAACACTTTTTTGGACATCAAAAATTCTCATCATTATTCTTCTTGTAACTGAGTTTTGATTATAAAATGCAATTGTAAAATTTCTTAAACATTTTCATTATTTTGGTGAGAGGAGAAAATTAATGTTTTCATAAATTATTTCTCTACAAAAAAGTTTTTGAGAAAAGGTAATATTTTTCTTCTGCTTCTTTTTTAGCCTGACACTTACAACACAATGTGTGAATGTTTGGCAACTTTACCTGACAAAAGATTTGATTCAATAATTGAAGAAGACTTTTTGGATCCACAGCGGTTTCTCAAAGGAACATATACACGCTGCTTTTTGATAGCTAACAACAAACAACCAATTGCTTTGCTAAATTATTGCATCGATGCCATTATCAACGCAGGATTTATGTAAGGAAGAAAAATGGCAGAAATTCATTTTCTCTGTAAAAGTAAAATACTTTGCTTTAAGTAAAAATTAAAATTGTATTCTTTATCTCTATTTACATTATTCGGACTATTGTCCTCATCTTTGTCGCTATATTTATTACGACGTTTCTTTGGTTCCTGTCTCTGATTCTAACTAATGCCTTTATCCACTGTGCCATGAAGAGTTTGAGTTCAATACCCAGTTAAGGCAGTGGAGAACTTTCAGAGGGGAATTAACAAGAGATAACTGATAACTGACATCCATTAAATATGGCACATGGAACTAGAACAGTCTACCCCAGTGAGCGAAATAAAGATTTGTTTAACATTCCAACCACCTGAAGAAGGCCAGAGCATACAACGGCTGAAACATTGTGATAAATATGGCAACAAAGATGAGGACAATAGTCCGAATAATGTAAATAGTGTACATAAAACCTCATTTCAGAAATATAGATAGATAGATACATTCTTGATCTCAAGACAAACCACAAATATATCCTTGTTTCTTTGACCATCATCAGATATTGTCTGTAAAAACAAAGGAACACCAATTAAAAAAAAAATAGTAAAGAAAACTACAAAAAAACGGAAAGAAATCTATGGTTGGTGTTTAGGAAGTCTCCCTGTCATGGTGTAATTTAGAATCATTTGGATACTCATTGTGCACCTGATACTGTGAAAAGATACAGAGTCCGTTATGCACATTAATGAACTTTGTCTGGTTTGGAAAAATAAATTTTATTTTTTCTCACAGTTTAAACCTAACGATGACTGAAGAATGGATCAGCCAAACCATTGTTTTAATGACAACAACCATAGTTGGGGCTGAAAAATTCTCAGCCTGACCAAGAAAGGAGTCTTTCAGGTTTGGAAAGTGGATCAGGTCAAGAACTTTTCAGCATCTCTTAAAAGTATTCAAGTGTTCAAACAGTGATGGATAAAATATGAATTCATCCATGTGAATATTTTCCTTCATAAGTTGCTTGGCAAACAATTATTGGAATGTTAGATAATTGGTTACACTTTACATATTCAGATATACATGGTAAGAAATTTTCAGAATTATTCTGCATGTAACCAATCTAAAAAGCTTATATCAAAACAAGGTCGGGAAGGGATAGTAAAGGAGCAAACACTACTCAGAACTACAAAGATAGGAAGTTGTGAAGAGCCAGGATTGCCCACATTCTGAAGGGACATGGCACATAAAAGAATTCAATCTAAAGTTTAAAAAAAAGCTGTCATGGGAATGTTTGCACATATTTAATATAAAGTAATCAGTAATATTTCAGCTGATTCCAGTTAGAAGTGATCAGGCAAGATGAAGAAATCTTTATTCGATTCAAACAATTACAAAAGACGAAACCTCAATTCTTTGCTCATTATCTTCTCTTCATTTTGCATTAGGGAGCCGAATAAAGGGAGATCACTCAACCCTAGCCGAATAAAGGGAGATCACTCAACCATAGCTAAATTAAAATTGTAGTTTCTGGACCTAACCGTCAAATCCAATATTACACATTTCAACCGGATTTTAAAATTGTCATTGAAAAATAAAAAGTGATTTTGTCAACAAAATCAGTTTTTATTTTTCATAAGCAAGTTTCTATCCATTTACTAAAATGGTTTTCTTCCCTTTCAGATCAGAATCTTTGCACAGTTTGTCTCTGATGTTCTTGGCTCAAACATTTTATCGTTGTGCTCTACGTGGAAATGGAAACATGGAATGTCTTCAGTGGTTCCTGGAACTCCTTGGTCACACTCGGAATTTAGCAACAGGTATCATCAAATTAGCTGATGATGTCACAGATCCACCTGCTGTAAGTCAATCATTAAACCTCATGCTATCTTCTACATTTTTTTTTTCCCCCCAAGAAACAAGACTATCCCATTATGAAAAGTTCTACAATCATTGTTAGCTTTAAGTCCTCCCCCTCCTCATAATAATTAACTTTCACGCCCATAAGAGTATGGGATCACCTATCTTGCAGTTTGGTAAATCCAAAGCAGTTTGTAAGGCCAAATCTTGCTTGAAATCTGTTTGGGACAGTGAGGAGAGCAGGGTCCCTGTCTGCCATCTTCATCTGTTTTCTCTTGTATTTCTTTCTCAGCATTTCAAAAGGGACTGACATTTCAAGTGATATTTATCCAATGCTTTCAGTCCATACAAGTCTGACTTCCCATGCTTGGCTATCTTTCTTTTATTGGCTCTTTAGAAAACTCGCAGGACACATCAAAGGCAAGAGGAACAGGAGGGAATGGTCAGTACACCTAATCAGCTTATGTAAATACATGGCAGAATATGGAAGGGCAGATAGAGTAAAAAGACAAACACTGCTAAGAGCTACAAAGGATATGAAGTTGTGGAGAGCTCTGATCGGCCACATCCTAAAGTGACCCAACACATAGATCTGCTGTGTGGACAAATTTCAGGGGCACAGATGCTTGCAATCCATACATAAGTCTGTTCAGTGGAACAGTTATCATTGAAATTTGAAGAACAGAGTTCCAATTTTGACTCTTATTTTGAACTAGGTGACTCTCTCAGGCTAGAAGGCATCTTTTTCAAGAAGTCATTCAGTTTGCAAAGAATGTGATACACATGTCGCCTCTTAAAAAAATGCTTTTCTTGTATTCTCACCAATTTTTAGTTACACTTGGAAATATTCAAGATGGAACTGAAGCACCTTGCTGGTTCTTAAGAGACTACCTCAGCATTTACATACATACAAATGTGTCAAACATTTTTTTTAAAGATGTCAGAAATTTGACATTTATTCTCATTATCATTTAGATTTTCCTTCACTCACATCCAGATTTGAAATATTCAATTTAGTCAAGCCAGCATTATTTGTTTGAATAGCAGACAAAATTTTTTTAACCAGCAGTCTGGCACAAGGCCATGTGACAGAACCTGAGTGTGGATCAAACTCATTACAGCAGTACATTAATGAGAGATTTATCAATCATTGTCAAATGCCAAAAAGTGGGCTGAGAGATTATATATATATATATATATATATATATACACACACACATATTGCTGCTTGCCTCATTGATTTTTATATCAAGATCCTATTTTATATTTTAGTTTTCTGATGAAACATTCTTGTAAAAACTAACCTTTATTGAACCATTTACACACCATAACCCCCCCAACCCGGTCTTCCTTCACATCAACTAACAGTTTTCTTGCCATTGCAGGCATTTGATTTCGCCATCCAGATCGTTTGTGCAGCTGCTTGCTCTTGGCTAAACACTTCCGCTGCTGTGGCTGGCCAACACCCACTCTTCATGGCTGATCTGGCCAATAAAAAGGATTCACAATTTCCTGTTTCTGTCTATATTCAAGATGAGCCAAATTTTTGGCTCAAACTGATGCCTTCTTACATTTCTAAACTGGACAAAGAACCTTGGAGACAAATTGTTCCTAAGGCAAGTGTTTTTTTTTTTTTTTTGTTTTTTTTTTTTACTTTTATCAGAATTTATATTCATTTTTAAATGAAATGAATCAAATGTCAACCATACATTACATTTATACACAACTCATCTAAGATTCTACATATAAAAGACTTTTTTTATATTAACCTACAAATTACTGATATATGGAACATTTCTTTGACATAAAATTTTGGAGTTATTTTCTGTTAATAAAAATAAAGTGGGGAAAATTTCTCAATTGTCCCTGGAGGAAAGCTTTCTTAAATTCTAGTTTTCTTTTCAGTTTATGGATTGGCTTATTACTCTTCACTCTCTCCCTGATGAGACGATCAGATCCTCAACTAAACACATACTGAAATGTAAGTTTCACTTGAGTATAGCAGCAAAAAAAAATATTTTATTAAAATTCTGAAATTAGAATGAATCTGCTATCCCCCCCCCACCTCCATACACACAATTTAGAGATGTCATGTGACTACTACTAAAATAAATCTAGCTATTTACAATAATCTTACTGGCTATACAACAATTTCCATAACAAATGAATATCAAAAGTTTCTCTATTTCAGGCTGCCTGCATATGTTACGTCATACAAAGGAATTCAAGAAACCAGCTGTATGGGATAAAACAGTTTAACTATTTGGAAAGAAACCAATTCTTTCCAAAAAGACAAAGCCTCACACTTGAAATAAAAAAAACTTCAAAAAGATGAATACAACAGTTTTGTGTTTGTTTTTTTTTTAAAAAAGTTCATTCATTCCATATGCTAGGCTTTGAGAAACCTACACACAGCCTAATGGAGTAAACACATTAGGTTCATCAATTTTGTGAGATGAGCAGTGGGAACAGGGCAAGCAATAATCTCTCTCATCTAGAGTCAGGCTCAGCTGAGCCTGACTCTAGATGAGGGAGAGGCATGGGTAGTAGCAAAAGAACAAAACTGGATTATCCAAATTGAGACATCTTAAAAAAAAAAAAAAGTATTTAAAAAAAAAAAAAGTATTTGTTATTTTTTTTTTTTTTTTTTAGCAAAGCAAAAATTCTCCCACCCATGCAAGCGACTCAGATGAATGAATTAAAGGGGGTTTGAATTTTGCCATGGCAACAGAAAATGACCAGGACTGAAATTGAGTAATGCAGAGTGTTAAATGGAGAAGACAACAACTTTTGAAGCATTCAAAACATTTTATTTTTCAGTGTTTACTTAGCTGCAACAGACTTTTTACTTTTCACCTCCGTTGTAGATGCTGCTTTTCCCTTGGTATCTTTGCCCTTGGTTATTACAAGCTTCTTTGATTTGGGTCTTGGCTTGTATACGGCTTTGGGCTTTGGGGGTGAAGTTTTAGGCAAGACGTCTCTAAGTGGCTTCTTACGAAGTTTTCCAACTTCTAAACGGATAATCTTGTTTCTCTGTGAAAGAAAAATAGATTCAACTCAATTCTTTTATTATAGTATAGGATCATTAAACTTTTAAAATATGAAGTGTGTGTGTGTGTGTGTGTGAGAAAGCAAATCAAACTCACCGATTGCTTGGCTCTCATCAACTTGTATCTGTCAAAATCTGTCATTTTAGCTTTCTGAAAAAACAAAATATAAGAAAAAAAAAGACTTTTTATTAAGATTAAATGCTCTAGGCACCATTCTATCTAAATTTAGAAACAAAATTCTCTTTCTACGAGCAGAGAGAAAAGACATTCGTGTTAGCTTTGCATAAAATTTGAGTAAGAATGAGCAGTAATGGACAGAAATTGCAATAAATTCCCACAGAAACTTGTTTCCTGCTGTTACAAGTTCACATTCTTCAAAGAGCCTATTGTATCCGCAAAAGCAAAATGCCATACTGAAGGCTTGGAAATAATATTAAAAGAACAAGTATCTGGAATATTCCAATATATAAGCCCAATTTTAACAAAAATCCAATTTTTTTTTTGTCTTTTGGGCAGGTTTCAATTGATTCAAATTTTTGAAGCCAATTATGCAAAATACTTTAATTTACACTCAGACTCAAGTGTTTGCATCTTTGTTGAGTATTATGTTTTGGCCACTGTGACCTGGTCATTCTGGGAAACAGAATAAGAGCAGTCACTTTTGATTAAATAAAAAAGTTCAGTTCAAAATTAAGCTCAAACATTAACTGGATCAACATGTGTACCTGGTGAAGACCACAGGGGGGAGGGGGGTCAAACAGCCAAATAGTACAATGAGGATAAGTCCAAATGTAAAATATTGGTAATTTGGATGAAAACAAGCATCCTATTTAACTTTTTATCTCACCAAATTCTTTCTAGAATTTTTTCCCTCTGCCACTGCATTTGTTTTTTGAGGGCACAAAAAACATGAGCACCTACCACTTTAAGTTTCTTTGTATTATTGTGGGTATAGATTTTATTTTTTTGCATACTAAAATGGAGTAATAATTTGATGTAATGCATTACATCTTGCATGCATGTTTTGACATTCAAAACAAAATTAAAAAAGAAAAAAAAAAAAATTAATATTTAATATACTTTTAACTTATTAATCCTTGTGGAGTTCTGGAGTGCAATAAGAAGCAAAAAGGCTTTCATTTCTTAAAAGTGATGTACCTCCTTGTGTTTACATAACATTTGTTTCCTCTTTCCTCCACCTGACTAAAAGTTATTTTGTTATTAATAAATAGCCTTTCTGAAGGTGAATTATTTTGTCTATCTCGTACACCCATAGTACCAGTAGCTCCATAAACTTAGTTAGCCATGAATGATAGTAGCAGTGAGGCCCTTAGTGGTCATCATAGCTTACTAGCATCACTATCACCTTACTGTTTCTACTTGAGTAAAGCCTTCAAAATCCTCACCGGAGTCTGAATCAAAGAAAAACTCCTGAATAAATGCTTCGTTGTCTTTGCAAAAAATCCCAACAAAATTAATGTGGGTTTAATCTAGAGTACCAATTTCTCCAGCAGACAGTGGGTTTGACACACACATAGAAATAAGGTAGAAAACACTGAAAATGGTTTTTGCTTTAAAACACACTGTCTTTTTATTTCTTTTTACTTTATAGTAGGCCTGCCATATCCACTGTCATCACTTCAAAAGGCAGTAAATTGTAAAATTACTGAACTGGAACTCAACAGAAATTTGAAATATACAGTATATGATCTAATTAATTTCTTGCAAAAATCAGCAGTAATTCCCTCCCATAGGTGATCCTGGTTTTTCGGGTTTCTTTTCTGAGCCCTTTCTCCAATTATCTTCCAAACATTTTCTATTGGATTCAGGTCGGGACTCTGGGATGGAGGGCAATTCCTTCTTTAAATAAAGCCATAACCTTAACCTTCTGAGCCTTGTGGCAAGGTGCATTGTCCTGCATGAAAATAGGAGATTCATAAAGATTATGGTGTAATATTGGTACCACATGCCGCTGAAGAAGCCTTTTATAAATCTCAGCATTGATATTGCCATGTACGCGGATGACAGGGCCAACTCCAGCAGATGAAATAATTCCCCATACCATCACACTGCCGCCACCAAACTTAACGGTTTCTTGACACATTGAGAAGATAGTCGTTCATCTGTTCTACAGCATACGTAAGTTTTGCCCTCAGAATCAAATATAGTAAACTTGGACTAGTCACTGAATTGAACTGTATCCCATTGTGCGTCAGTCCAAATAATATGTTCTCGCATACTCCAGGTGGGCCCTTTGGTTTCACTTTGAAATGAGAGGCTTCGAAGCTGGAATACGGACATGCAATCCTGCATTTTTTAACTTGCAAGCAACTGTTTTCCTTGAGATCTTATGTCTCTTCATTAAATTTACAGGCAATTGATGTAGCAATTTCAAAACGTTTTCTGTTTGTAGATATTCTAACAATTCTTCGATCTTCTCTTTGCGATGTTTTTGGAGGTCTGCCGGTTTTTGGTTTTGCATCTAACGTTTTATCGGTTTTATACCTGCTAAATTACATGATGAACGACACTTTTAGACCTACAAACAATATCAGAAATTTCTGAAATTGACTTTTTTTTCTTGATAGTTAGCGATGAGGTTTTTTTTCCCCAAAAGAGAGCATTTTGCATGTAGAATTTGCCATATTGCTTAAAAATAAAGTCCTTATGATAAATGAACTTTTAATTATTGTTGAAAAGCTCCATCGAGATTTTTAACAATGTAAATTAAAAGTTTATGCAAATTATTAACATCATTTCTTAACTTTTGTCCAGTAGCTGATTTCCTTTGTTCCATTTAATCTTTATTTAAAAAAAAAAACTATTATGTAAATTTTTGTAACTTTGTATAATATTTATTTCTTTATTCGGTAAAAATTTCATTGCTAATCATGTATTACTTTTTAAGTAATACACATATTTATGTCTTTGTTGTTTCCATTCCTTATATTATGGCCGCTACTGTATAGCAAAGTCAGTCACATATGTGCAAGCACTACGACCTATGTTGCTGCAGCATATCATTTTATATATAATGGGATATTTTCCACTACTGTGAAAAGTGCTGTAACCCAATTCATATTTAACTTGGCCAAACCTGTTACCACAAAGCAAATACCCACATGCAATATTAGCATATGAATGGTGTGCACACACTGCTAAGGGTAGTAAAAATAAAATTTGTTTGTTTTGTAATTAAATTAGGTTTAAATGCTGGTTTCATTATTTTTCACGATAAGTAAACAAAAAGCTTTCAGCAAAATACAGACCTGAAGAGCCAGCTTTCCGTGATTTTCATCATTATAGCAATGAATTATTTTGCTATTTTTCTCAACACACAAGTCTGCATTTTTCACGTGTTTTTATGATTTTGAAACAAACATGGAAATTTGATGTTTTAAAATACAGAGAACTTGACACTCTAGTTTAATCAATGTTACACTTTGTGTAGAGTCTAGAAGAATTCCAAATGGCATTGGAAAATGGAACCTTAGCTTCATCCCAGAGCAGTAGTAAGCCATTTCCAATCTTAAATACCAGAAATAACAGTTGACAAATATCAATTTATAGTAACCTTCAGGGCTACAGAATGCCCAGACAGCTGTAAAGGGAGAGAATTCTAGGACGACAATTTCCGCCCCCAGCTAAATAAAGGTTATGGATTAACAAACTTAACCTGTCACTTACTTCCTAGCCACCTTTAAGTACATTGGATTATACAAACATTATTGGTGAATCATGCTGTTTAAAAATATTTAAAAAAAAAAAAAAAAAAAAAAAAAAAAGAAATCAGATAAAAAAAAGCTAAGCCTCACCTCCCCATCACCAAAAACATATCTTAACCAACACCTTTCAACTGAATTGTCACAAAAATTTAGTCTGAACTGAAAAGCTTTAAGTTAATTTGGAAATGTGTGTGTTGTATATATATATATATATATATATATATATATATATGTATATACACACAATAATAATCTTATGGCATGCTATATTTATGGGTAAAAGTGCTCAATATCAGTGATAGAGCATAATGTAAATATAAAAGGGGGACACCGAGTGGTGACTATTTCATGCCAGAAGATTGCATGAAATACTTGCCTGTGTCCACTTATAAAAAAAAAAAAAAAAAAAAAAAAAAATACAATTACCCCACCTCTTTATAATATACAAGTTAAAAGTAATAACATTTTGATCAGATCATTCACACTTTACATACAGATATATTAAAGAAGAAAAAAATAAGAAGAGCTCTTTTGTATGAAAATATTCCAAAGTCAGCATTTTAAGTGAAGAATCCAGATAATTCAGTTGAGAAGATATCATCTCAGTAAATCAGACGGCACTTCCATTAGACTCATCATGTTCACTCTGGATTTTACTCAACACAAAAATAAAAATAAAACTATCAAGTTATAAATAAGAGTATTGTTTTTACCCAAAAAAATTTTTTAAACAGGATCTTACTTAATAAACTGAGTGACAGCACTTCAGACAAATAGAAAACTGTTCGCTGAGGTGAAATTTCGGTAAACTTAATGCCCAATCATTAAATCCACTAGTAAGGGAGACAAGCTAGTGCCACTGCTTAGAAGACATCCATTAAGCCGAGGTAGGAAGTAGCCTATTAATAGCTTCAGAGATTTGTTAGTCAACAATGGTGAGTCCAATCCTAAAGAGGATCACAAAAGTCAGCATAGTTAACAGGCATTAAGTGAAGAACCCAGATAATTCATTTAAGAAACTATCATCTCAATAAATCAGACAGCGCTTCAATTAGACTCATGTTCTGGCTGGATGTCACTCAAAATTAAATAAAATTGGAAGAAACCTCCTTAAGTAATTACTTTGGAAAATTTTAAATATTATTGCAAATGATGGTTTATTTCCTTGATTAGAACGAGTTCATGACCTCATAGTTATAGCCAGTACCTTTCAACAGGTGATGATTAAAAGGATGAAATGAAAAAAAAAATTAATGTACAAAAATGATCAAGATTTATTAAAAATACATATTTCATTAAATATTGGAATTTCTCATAGGACAAGTAATTCTTTTTAGATGAAGTTATACATCTATCACAAGAAATAAAGTTACGGTTAGAAAATCCCAAGTTGTTGTTGATGGTATTATTATTATTATCCACAAC